ATGATTATTGATATTTATATAGAAGCATCCTCAGGTAGTGTAGATTCTAGTTTGTTCAAATCATAACCCCCAGTAATGGGGTGGGGCCACAGTGGGGGATCCAAGTTTTACATTAAAATATATTTTTAAAAAATCTTCTTCTAAGGAATAGCAAAGCCATGATTAGTGATATTCATATGGAAGCATCCTTAGGTAGTGTAGAATTAAATTTGTTCAAATCATAACCCCCAAGGGTAGGAAAGGGTCTCAATGGTGGATCAAAGTTTTATATATAGGAAAATAAAGGGGAAAATCCCCATAACAGAAAAGCTATGTTTAGTCATATGGACATGTAAGCATCCTCATTTATTGAAGATTTAAATTTGTTTAAATCAAGAGTACCCTTTGGGGTAGGGAGGGAAACAATGGGGAGTCAAATTCAAATTATAACAAAGTACTGAGTAGTATACAGCTCAACGAACTTTTTAAGCTCATATGGTTTTTCGCACAAATTAAGGTCACATTGTTTTAATGTAACATTGTGTATCGAGACAACAAAATACATTTTAAAAGTATTTGTTTACATAATTTGAGTTTTATTCCATTTACTGAAATATAACTCACACAAATCATTTGGTAGAACTTTGATATATTCATGGCTGAAAAATAACAACTATTCTCATTTGAATTTTTGTGGTTCCTTGCCAATTGCAGCTGTCTTTTTATCCGTTCTTTTGAAAGCAATAGCTCTTGGCAGAAACGTAGACATGGGCACTGTACAGCTACTCTTACTTGTATTTTCTGTACATTTTGACTCTTTAACTCGGGGTGGTAATAGTATTTTTCATCTGTTTGACTGCTTTCTATGTTAATAAGGTGAGATTCTTCCGAGTCAACTTCTAAAATCTAGAATCATGAGAGATTCATCCCACTGCAAAATTTTAACTTTCAAACCGTAAATGCAGAAGAATATTTCTTTCCATAGAGGGAATTTACTATTCAAAAAAATAAACAATACTTCATTATCCTACCCTTTAGTGTGGTTTCCTTCTGCAATGTTATCCCTTTCGGCGCTACATTTCGACACAACCAAGAGGAGTATGATAAATGAGCAAAGATTTTTTAAAAACACTCACCTTGAAGAAGAAAATTTAAAATTGTCAACTACATGGAATCAAATAAAGCTCGTTTTATACGATTTGTAAAAACCTATGGTAGAATCGTATAGTCGAAACATCCTACCATTTATAATTTCCCCTTTATAACATCCACTTTGGAAACTTAAGATAATTTTAAAAGACATTTATGCTTGACATTATATATGTAATATAACAAAGGGATATATTATTGTACTGCAGTTCAAAAATGGTATTTTTATTACAACAATGTGACCTTAATTTGTGCGAAAAACCATGTGAGCTTAAAAAGTTTGTTGAGCTGTATACAAACAAAATGTTAAAAAAAATCTTTTTCTCAAGAAGTTATATGCAGTATTGAAATGGAGGCATTCTCAAGTAGTATTAGAATTCAATCCCCCTACCCCCACCCACCCCCACCCCACCCCTAAGTAAACTTTTCAATTCTGATCTGATTTGTGCTTTTTCCTAGCCGATGTGCTCAGGTGAGCGATGTGGCCCCTGGGCCTCTTGTTTCGCGATTATCTATTTTTCGCATTTTCTGCGACCATTTTTAATTCGCAAAATATAAAACACCCAGAAATTATGTCACATATAGCCTAACATAAAAACCTCCCCCTTTTCGCAAAATTTCCAACACGCGAAAAAAAACGGATAAACGGTAAGGCAGTCCAGGCGTTCCATAGGCTGCCCTATTTTTTGCCTTTTATTGTAATAATTCAAAGTCTGATTCATTTTATTTTCATTTTTGTCATACTTGGTCCATCTTTTTTTTTTTAAGAGTTTTAATTAGTGTTCTTTTCCACCCATTTTCATGACTACATTGTGTAGCCCTTAGATAGCCTTAACGTACCATATCAAGGTGAACATTTATCCATGTATTTTCTAGGTTTTTTTATTATTCGTTTCCCATGGCAATCGACGAAATACCTATTACATGCATTGTTGTAATGGACTAACACTTCCCTTTAAGTTATTATTAACCGGAGGGAACATACCTCGGATCCTACGTAACTGTGATGGTTAATATAATTAGAAGAAATATATCTCTAATTCTCAGTGTTTTTTTAGACTCTCGAGCATTTTGACGGTCATTTGTGAGGTACATGTTTTAAGTCTCTTGTAAAGTATTTGGTCTTTTTTTCATTCATTCTTTTTTAAGACATAACCTTATAATCATGAATTATAATAGAAATAACATACTTAGGATTAAATTAATATTCATTTTAATTTTAAGAATAAGGAGCTTAATAATAATAATAATTTATTCATTTCAGAAATGAGCTCCAATATAGCACAGAAAATGTATTTCGCAGGGATTTTCTATTAATGATACATTTTTTTTCCTTTAAAGCAGTTTGTGATTATGCAATTCTCTACGGTTATACTATGTATTGGTTTCCTTGCTGTCGGTAAGAACTTTAAATTTAAATTAAATTTAACTTAAAAATTTAAATTATTCAACTGCAAAAAAAAACAACATAAAACTTTTTGATGATAATTTTGACATTTTAATTTAGTATTTGTAAAAATTTATATGGGGTATTTTTTATATCTAAGAAATATGTTTTTTCATTAAGTAAGCTTATACTTAGTTAAAACAAAGCATTTGCGAACTGTTAGAGGGTGGCATGAATAAATGCAATGTTTTTATATGAAGTAGTGAAATGATATGGAAATCATGAAAGTTTACTGATTCGATACGCAAAAGCAGCTCTACAGATGAACAATTTCCCAAAATGAGGGAAGTTATTGACAAACAAGTTGATTAAACAAGAATATCAGCCGTCATTTCGAAAGTTCTTATGTCGATACAATGGTCTTGTTAGCAAATACAGTCTATCATTGAGTCAAATGCTGATTGACGTTTTAAATTCTAATTTTAGGCCATTATTTACTAACTGAATTACAGAAGTATTTTTTCCGTTATTTCTCGATCATAACAAGGAGCACGCGCCAGATGTGGCCGGTTAGAAGGGAATGCTTACTCCTCAATGGCACCTAATCTCATCTCTAATATTTCAGAGGTCCGTCCGTGTTTGCTATGCTTAAAACTTTGTATTGTTCTTTATACTTCTGAGCTTGAATATTTTTTGTTATTCTCATATATTTCAATTCAACAATACATGCATTTGATAAGTAGACTTATTTTATTTTCGTAATTACAGTGAGAACTTGTATCAATTTTTGTTTTTAAATAATTCATTAAATGCATGGATTCAGGCCCTTACCATGCTCATCTATAAATTAAGTATTTTAGTTTTTTTTTTCGTTTTCTTTATATAATACTTGTAATTTCGTTTCTTTCTTTAATAATTTCATTTTCTTTATATAATAATTTCGTTTTTCTTTATCACTCAATTTCGTTTTTCCTTTATTCAATAATTTCGTTTTTCTTTATTTCATAATTTCGTTTTTTTTAATCTAATAATTTCGTTTTTCTTTATCTAATAATTTCGTATTCTTTATTTGATAATTTCGTTTGTTTTTTTTTATTTAATAATTTCGTTTTCTTTATTTAATAATTTCGTTTTCCTTTATCTAAAATTTTCGTTTTTCTTTATCTAATAACAATTTTGTTTTTCTTTATCTATTAATTTCGTTTTCTTTATTTAATAATGTCGTTTTCAATATTTATTTTTGGTTTGCACTATTCTGTTGGGCTTCCAGAAGTATCTGTAAAAATCGAATACTAGTACTTAATTTTTGAATTTCTTTAAAAATAATTTTACCCCCATGCATTTCAATAATATCAAATAAGACCGTTATATTTTACATGAGTGTTTTAAGAAATCGCAGAATTCTGAAGTCATATTCATTTATTACTTTATAATTTAAAATCTCAACTCAGTGATTAACTATTAAATTTTTCTAACCATCAAAGAAAAAGAAAATGTAAGAAAAAAATTGCATACCAGTACCTATGTGGGAAAGTTATTGAAATTGAAATTTTGAACGATTAAAAAAAAAATTACTTGGTTTTTCGATGAAATATACCAGTATGTGTTAAAAAGAAATAATGAATCAATTTAGGCCATCTACTGACCAGGATTAGATTTCATATTGTAGCCCTCTCCGTCTTTTTTTTTATTGATATTTTCTAGAGAGGGCCACAATTCCAGAGCATCTTCGAAATGGTAAAATTTTAAATACGGACGAGTGCAGACAGTTTCCATTTCTAAATTTTTTCGATAATGGTAAAATTTTAAATACGGACGACTGCAGACAAGATAAATTGTTTTTACATTTAACTTACTTCTAAAAAGACGAGATTTTTAATCACCGTTTACAACATCGTCCGTTAAACGCGAAAACCTGATTGTTTACCAGGCCCTCTCAAATTCTCGAGTGTTGCACATAGAATTGCCCTTGAAATTTAAAGCAAATGTCGGGGTTATTAAATGATTGTGTTGTATGGCATCACTAAACATGAAAAAAAAAATAAACCTATTCCATGAGACATTTTTTTCATATACAGCGATATTTGTGCCTAAGATAAAATAATTCCTTTAGAGATCCGCTCCCCACAGATAATCTCAATGCTGTTTGGGTTGTTTTATGATTTATTATTTTAATTACAATTTTTGGAGTTCAGGAAATAAACGTCTATTGAATACTCATTTACTGATGATTTAGCCAAAATCTATGCAGGAGTGAATCACTCCCGCACTTGCACCATAACGGAGATCCTAAGGATCGAGCTGTACCCATCTCGAAAAAAAAGGAGAGCGCCATTTTTTCAGCTATGATCAGGATGAATGCAATCTTTTATGCAAAGTGAGTGTGGGGAGCGCATGACATATCCGCAACCCTACTGTATAATTTTGTACTTGTCCGAAATATCTATAGAGCGTCTTCCAGGCTGGTTTTTTTCATGATTCTGATATAATTGTCACAATATGAGTGAAAGATTTTCGAAAGGACATGAAATAAAATTATATATTCATGTCAAATCAGGTAGTCTTATTATTCCAGGATTTCGCCAGGCTCTAGCAGCCTATGGCGGAGGGACCTGCACCATACCCCAGGCCGGTAGCCCAGGGGCCACGACTGTTTGTACTGGAACCGCAAACGGATTCTGTTTGATTGATACTTTCACCACTGCGGGTGCTCCTCAACTCACGTCTGCCGTTGCTGCTGGGAGATGTGTCTGTTATTATGGATACAGTGGTACAAGCTGTGGAAGTAAGTTTTCTTTATTTGTGTATTTTTTTTTTTTTGTTTGTTTGTTTAATGTAGCGAGAAACGGAGGCAATAACTAACTTGTTATTTCAAGCTTGTGAAAGAAGAATTATTTAATTTTTTCCATTTGGGGTAGATATTTTTTAAAATCTTTACTTGGAGAAGGCGAATGCTGAGGAAACTTTTCACACATACGCTCTCCGAATGTCATTTTATCAAAGCAGCTTGTTTTGAGCTAAGTCTTTGAGCATTACATTTTGCTTTAAATCATGTACTTTATAATTAAATCCGCACTTAAACCTTTAAGATCAGTAAGACTTGAAACTAAATGTTCAATTTAATAGAAACGTCTCTGTTCCATTGATTGCGCGCGCGTATAGTGTTTTATAAGAATCATCTTTCTGTCATTGAATTTGTGGAAGAAAATTTTTCATAGAAAATTCCGGACACAAAAAATTGCTACTGCTACATATTGGCTGAAAGTTTTACAAAACTTTTCTTTTTAATAGCTGTTGACCCTTCAGCGACATCGTCCACAAGTGCCTCAAGCAGTAATGCTGTCAACACTATTGCAACACTGGGACTTTTAGGTGCTGGCGCTTGGGCACTCTCACAGGGACTCGGTTCAGGTGGATCACAAAATGCACTCGGAATCGGCTCAGGCTCCGCACAAAGTGCTGAGGAGGCATTATACCTACGACAAGCAATGAGCAAATAGAACTCTACTCCATGCAACTGATGTCTACCGTCCTTTTTACTTCATGTGAGAAAACAAAGAATGAACGTTGCAATCATCAATTCTATGCCCAAATCGAAGATAAATAATTACATGTAAAAGAAATTGGAATAGAATTTATAAATGTTCCTCTCTTAACTTTTTAACTACCAGACATTGGTGTGAGGACCTTTGCAAAAACAGATTTTTGGCTTCTTCTTAGAAAATCTACTTTTCTCCCTTGACTAAGAGATGTTTTACGTGAATTTATGCTGACAGGGGCTACTATCACTGTACATATTGTCGTCCAAACGTACATATTGTCACCGGCAAGAAAGTGCCGACACAAGATTTTTTCTTTCCTCCCGTGAAAATGAATGACAAATTAAATCACACATAAACACATTTTGTCGTCCATCCGTTATTATCGTCACCGACGAGAATATGTATCAAAACACGTTTTTTTTTTGTTTTTTTTTTTAAAGAATCCTGCTGTAGAATTTTTCCAAAATGAGCAATGAGCTCACTGAATGATGCCCCCGCCTCCTATAAGGTTATAATGGCAAAATCCATGTTTTGCTGTGGTCAGGAAACCCAAAATATGTGTCAGATCAAAAATTAAAATAGGAGGAACACAATGGCAATATGTAATAAAGATTCAGTGAAAGTTTCATCAAATTTCACTCAGTGGTATAAGAGGAGTTGCAGATAAGAGATTGGTGCTGTCCTTTCTGACATATTTTATTTTTCAAATAAAATCTGCAAAATGGTCGTCATGTTGCAGATTATAGCGAGCGTCGCGAGCGTCGTACCTGGTAATTGCGAACTCTAACGACAATGCCTGGGCGAAGAGAAAATTCAGACTACTTCAGATAGAATTTTTTTTCTGCAGTAATTTGGACCCACAATGCATCGCTTCGTACACAACGCTAAAGGAACGTTCTCACGAGAATAAGAACAAAAGTTAAATGAAATAATAAACTTGTCTTGATTTGTCTCATATCTGGTGATTTTCTCTGATCTTTCTGTGGTGATATATCCCATATCACATATGCGGTAATACTTTCCACGCCCCGTCATATATCACTACAGGAGGCAAAAATCAGGTCAATATTTATTTATTGAATTTTGACACTCTCAATGAAATTTACGTCATCATACATGCGACAAGTTGCTTACATCATAGATTGCCTCGTACTATTGGTTATATCGTTTTCATGGGGCGTGGAAATCTCGGGCGCTCCGCGCCCTCGATTTCCACGCTCCATGAAAACGATATAATCAATACTACTCGGCATCTATGATGTAACCTGTACTTAATGAATTTGTTGCTGAAAAATAGTCAATAATTAAACAGTCATTCATTAAAATCAGCCCTGTTCAGGCTTCGGTTTGGTAAAGCAACATGCATACGACGTCATGTGACGTCAGAGTATTAGACGCACCGAATGCCACGTGCGGTTTTACGAGCCCGATCTAAATGAAAACTGGATAAGTATCTCCGCTCGCCCTAACGGTCGCACCGTCAACATATTATTTGAAAAATAAAATATGTCAGAAAGGACAGTACCCCAAAGCGTAACAGACAGAAGGACGTACAGCTAGACGGACGGACATACCGATCAGTATATAATCTCTCGCTTTTCATGCGGAGGGTATAATGAAAATAACTGCAGTATCCGACAGATTGCACGGATGGACGATACTGTCTGCAGTCAGTGTGGGTTTACATTGCTACCATCGAAAATATAAACAGGAGGAAAGTATGTATCGTCTCAATCACCCGAACTAATGTTTTCGGAACCTTTTATTTTTCGGTGTTCTGCAAATTATAAAACACAAGGAATACAGAGTAGCTCTGGTGAGATATAGCGAGACAACAGCGAGATAACAAAGGTAAATATTCACAGAAAATGTGGATAGGAAGTTATTAGCACGTGAAGACTCGGTAAACAGAAGTATTATGTTACGTTTCAGTTTTCACCACCTTATACATGTGTTAATAGGAATTCAGTTTAATCTCTCTTGAATTTCTCAGAACTTAAAGTAGAGGTATTGTGAGCAATGAGCTCACTAAATGATACCCCGCCTCCCATCTTTGGGAAACCCAAAATAGGTGTCGGATCAACAAGTAAAATAGGAGGTGCACAATGCAGGGATGGGGTCAATTACATAGGAATGATAAATTAATTAAATTACAATTTCTTTCCAAAAACCTTCAATTAAATTACCATTACCATTACAGGGATTTTGAAATGTAATTAATTTAATTACAATTACTTTGCAAATGTAATTGAATTACAAATTACATTCAAGAATACACGTATAAAAGTAAATAGTCATGTACATTCCTTTACATTTATAACAGATTATTTTACAGCATTTTTTTTACAATAATATTATTAAAATCTTCATACTTTTTTCAAATAATGTGTTCCCTAACATTATATCCATTAGATTCGAAGATTTTTTCCGCCATGCTGAAGATTCTTTCCACTGTAGTATTTGTGAGAGGAATACATAAATACATGTAGATACTGACCAGTAGAAAGTTTACTCATGGTTTTACCTTAAAGCAATATGAGCTGCATTTTTGGAAAAAATGTTTTGCTCTGCAAATTTTTTATTATGATTAATTTGTATGTAATTTTTTTTTAACCCTTATGATTAATAAAACCAAAATAAAAATTCAAATTGTTTCATAAGATATATTTATGTGCAATTGAATATGTAGCAATATATCAGAAATCAATTGTTATAATATACAGGACGACAAAAATGCGTAAGGAAAGAACACCACATCTGAACTGTGCCAAGGATGACCGTTTTTTGTTTTGTTTTGTTTTTTGTTTTGTTTTGTTTTTTTTGTTTTTGTTTTTTTTTTTTTTTTGAAATATTAGCTGCAACATACGGTTCGGTTTCACGATTAACTGTAAAGGAAATATATGTCCTTAATTTTGGTGATGATTGTATTTTCACTTTCCAGTCATTTTCAGCATATTGACGAAGTTTTTGGTACATGTATTCTGTATCTACTATTTGCTGGTTTTGAAAAAGACTGCTACTGTTGAGACTATCAAAAATGTTTTTGACCTGTGAACACCACACACCCTGCATATTATAATCCCACATGAAAACTTTCTTCGTTAATCTAACATTTTCCAACTGAAGAATTCGGTTCCAAAGGCGGAATATATTCAGCCCTATAGCTTTTCGCTTCCGATTATGATTTTTTTTTCCTTTAGAAACATTTTTTCTTTATTGTGCATATCTTTCCATAAACAAGTAAGTTCTTCATTCCAATAACGTTTAGTTTGTCGCAATTTTTTTCCGAGTTCGTTTTGAGCAGTCTTTGTGTGGTATTTTCCTCTCCATTTCTTTGACTGTTATTTCACAAAATTTTGAATAGATATCATCAATTTCCTTCTGTATTTCTCTACAAAGTTCAATATTTCTAATCATTTCTAGTAAGGAAGCTTTCACAAGGTCTGAACACATAAGTCAGGGGGGATGGTTTTTAATTTAAAATGTTTCCGTGAATTATCACTTAAATTGTTCTCAGACTGTTTATACGTAGGATGCATTTGTATAAGTATATCACTTGCTTCAAACCTGTAATGATAGTCACATACCAAAAATGCATGATCTGGACATTTGCATTTAGTTCCTAGAGCAGATTGTATGTCTTTTTCTTATACATTACTCCCGACACTACATGTATTTGGAATTCCGTACAATGTGGTTAAACATTTAAAACACAAAATTTACTATCATTTAGGAATTCCACGAATGAGTCTCCATGTCTGTTGTTAATATTATCAATTACACACCTGTCGCGGATATTGTCGAATTCACAGCTAAAATCTTTGGAATGCCTAATTCGTGAATTTAAATATGTAATAGCATCCATGTCATAATTCAGATAAATCTGCGCCAAAACATGCGATTATTAACTTCTAACACAAGCTAAAGATATGGCAAACAAAAGGATTATAAGCCATTGGACTTTTTATTTTTCATACGGATTAATTAATTAAAAAATCAAAATATGAATTTATTTGCAAACTTTACAAAGATTAATTTGATTTAAAAGATTGTTTGTTTGTTTGTTTTTACTGAAAAAGGGCATTATATTAAAACAGCAATTTACTTAAATGGGGATCTTCCTTAAGAAATTTTACTATTAAAATTTTTGGTCCAAAAGATCTGTTAACCTTTCATAAATAATGTTTATGAGATTGAGAGGTAGGGGGACTATTTTTCATTTATTTAAATACTAGTATATATATATATAATTTAAGTTTTCGAGTTTAACATGCCCATGCATTTAGTAATTACTGGGATATTCCTCGGTGATCGATGACGCTACAGATAATCATGTTGGGTTAATGAGTTCGGGCCCCTAACCTGTGATAACGGAATAGGAATGTTACATTGAAACGGGCCCGATGAAAGCACTTGCCTTGTGTTATCGTTTCTACATGCTATTGAAGAGGATAATAAAGGTTCAATGTCCCGTCCGTTTCTCAATTCTCTTAAGACTCTTCGACCTGACAGGTTGTTCCCTTTAGAGGTAAATATCAGGGTTTTTTCTCTTTCTCTACGTTTCTCTCTTCACCTTTCCCCATAAAAGTTTTGTGTTAAAACTATATTTGGCGTATCTGAGCTTTTGAAAATCAAAGTACTCAGAAGTACAGTGAGCCGGGCTCATTTACAGAGTTGAATGGATTTCTTACATGAATCACGTTTATATTCTGATGAAAAAATTATTTTAAAACTATCAATATAAATGATAAGACACTGACAGTGAGTTTTTCAATCCTAATACCACGGTCCGATTTTGTCAGAATCAGAATTAATCTGGTACCGCAGCTGAATGTAAACAAACAGGCCAGTCTGGTTCCCTCTCCTGCTTTACCTCGTATGTGTAGAGAACTACGGTAACACTGATTATCAAAAATCCTTACGCTAATGAACTATGTTATTTGACTTATGAAGTTTTTAAAGTCATTACTACTAATGTTTATTTTATATAGATAAAACTTCGTTTTATTTTTGTTGCTTTATTTAGCGTTTGTATTACATGTATCTCAAAAGCGGTTGAGAGTAAGATCTATATTTTTGCACGTAACTTTAAAATGGCGACTATGGGGTCAACATCCTGCCTTGAACAGGATCACATAAGCCGGCAATGCCTTGAACCCCCTTTTCTGTAGGATCACATTATGTATAGATTAAGATATTTGCTTTCTACGTTCAAATTAAATTTTTCACCGATTTTGAACTTAAATATCCCTACGTTTTTAAAAGTTAAATTGACTTTTGACCTATCTATAAAAAGCGATTGATTTAAATTGTGTAATTTACAGGCAAGTCCTATATTTTTATAAAGTAACAAAACAAATAGAAAGATTTAATATTTTTTAGTTCGTCTGAACTTATCAAAAATACGCCATCTATAACTTAAGGTTTTTACAAGGATTAATTATTTTCCAAATAATAAAACATGTGGATTACGTACGCTTCATTAAAAAATGGTTTACTGTTAAATTTTAGCATATATAAACAGTACTTCCTTTGGTAGCTGTCCCCAGTTTATGACATTAACTAGCCTCCCATATGAATATAATGCGAGTGTCCATGTTTTGTTGCGGGAAACCCAAAATATGTGTCAGATCAAAAAGTAAAATAGGAGGTGCACAATGGCAATATGTAATAAAGATTCTGTGAAAGTTTCGTCAAATTTCATTCAGTGGTGTGAGAGGAGTTGTTGATAAGAGATGGGTACCCCAAAGCGTAAGAGACAGACGGATGTACAGACGGTCGTACAGACTGACGGACGGACGGACATACCGATTACTATATACTCTCTCGCTTATCAAGCGGGGGGTATAAATATGTGTTCTGATTTTGGTACCTTTAAAACACTCTACCCTCCTTTTTCTTTTCGAATTATCGTTGCGTTGCTTTTTTACAGACTCGATATCATGTTTCATTGTAAGCTTCTCTTGTGCCTGAGCTTCATTGCTGTAGGTAGGTACAATCATTTTGTTTTTATTCATATCAATCGATTGGAAATATATATAGAACTGTTAAACAATACTGTAGAAGGGATGTTATTAAAAAACGAATTAAATCGATGTTGAATTCCTTAAAGAAGACACATTGATAAAAGATGTTTTCAAGAAGGAACTGGTCGTTTATTGCATTTACGCATTAGAATATGTCGTTTGACATCATTTAAATTAAACGCTTTTTTATGTAGATAATTTAATTTCAATTAAATTTGAGCAACTTATGACGAAATTCGTGCTATGTACAGATTATTAAAATGTTTTTTTTTAATCCTTCATTAAAAACAATTTTCTTTCTTTCTTGAACTATTTCAGGCCTTCGTCATGCCTTAGCAGGCTATGGTGGACAATCTTGTACCATCCCGACGTCCGGTAACCCTGGGGCCTCTACCGTGTGTACAGGATCAGCCAATGGCTTTTGTTTGGTGGATACACTCACCACCGCAGGAGCCCCGAATCTCAATTCCATCTCTCTCACGGGCGTATGTATCTGTTACCAGGGATACAGTGGGGCTGCGTGTGGAAGTTAGTATTTTTTTTTCCTTTTTTTTTTTTTAGCTTATTTCAAAAATGTTCATTGCAGAAAAAAATATTGAAATGGGTAATTAAGAGAGAGAGAGAGAGACCAAGTTTTATAACTGACAAATAATTTTATCTTTGAAGCTGTTGATCCTTCAACCTCCTCAACCAGTACCAATGCTTTCAACGCCATTGGAGCTCTGGCAGTAGGAGGTGTCGGTGCTTATATACTTGCTAATGGATTGGGATCTGGTGGAAGACAGAACGCTCTAGGCCTAGAGGCAGGGTCTCCTCAGGCCGTACAGGAGGCCTATTATATACAACAGGCCTTAGGTGGACCAGGCACAGGGTTTGGAGGTTTAGGTGGAGTTGGGCAACAGGGCTTGGGAGGCGGATTAGGCACGGGTTTGGGAAATTTGGGTGGCTTTGGGAAATAGATTTTGTTGCAGAAAGCATAAGTAATTTTAAATGGAGATTCTTTAATACTTGGTATGTTTTCTTACTTTAGAATAATGGGCAACAAATTTGATAAATACGGAAAATTGGTTTTCCACGTTATAAATTATGATTGTTACTTTGAATCCTTCCCCCAAATATGGCAAACCGTTTTCTCGTGTAAGATATTTAATATAATTTGTCTAATTTTTTTTTTTTAGAAGTTTTTTAAAAAGTTTTTTTAATACCATTACTATTTGTAAATATAAACATTTGGCTTTCCTCAGAAACATTGTGATTGTTATGTTTATTTATGTGTATGTTGTATGATTTAATTTTATATTTACTAAATTTGTCGAAAAAAGACACAAAATCAAGTAAAACTTTGTTCCAGGAAAGTCATACAAACAACGATAATCAACTGACGATTGTTAAAACTCCGAGTAGTAATGAATGAAAAGCAAGGCCTTCCACGGAACTTTTTAAAGTCTTTAAATCAATTTCGTGAAAATCGACTTTGCTTTTTCATTTTGTTATGTATTTCTTCATTCTTCAATCATTTTTTTTTTTGAGAGAGAGAAAGTTGATTTGATTGATGCATTCCAGATAAAACATATTTACTGGAAAAAATTTCATCACTATGATGACCATATTTCAATCGCTCATAAGTTGTTTGTTCTTTTTACTGTTTTCTAATTAAATTGTTAAAAAAATTTCCGATGTGGCTTTTACCAAGATATCTTTAGAAGATATAAAGTATGTTTGTTCGAATAAAAAACTAAAATGCCATATGATAGTTGCAAAACAGAGCTATCTGTTTGAGAAAATTCAGACATTCAAAACCTGGTAATGAATTGAAATACATGTATAAATTAAATATCATGCTTTGATATGTCTTTAAAAAAAATTAACAAAAGATTAAAATCAAAAATATATTTTTACAACGAGATTAACATTCATGTGAAATGATTTTCATTAATGGTTCGCCGTTAAAACTGAAATAGATGACTTTATCTATTCCTATTGGTTGTTGATAAAACTCGCGCACGATCTACAAAGAATGATTTGTATTCATTAAATCGAAACTTCTCATCTGCAAACACCCATATTTCCCGTAGAAGATTTTTGCTGTTTATTGCATTGAAAGGTAAAAAGGTGGAAATAACATTCAGGGATCCAGCTTAAAAATCTATACACAATACAAATCTTTAAACAGAGCATAAAACACGGGCACTTGAAAATTTCAGAGAAGGGTTCAGTTGCCTTAGAGTAATAAGCATCCCCTATTGATCTGTCACACCCGCGGTGTCTCATGTATTGATCAGGTATTCGGAACATTCCGTTGTCAAATTCAGTATAAAAGCAAAGATCAAACAACTGATATGAAGAAAGTCAGTCATTTTTGCTAACAAAGTCATTTTAACGATAATAGAATTGACAAAATGCCGACTTTAAAAGGGACTGTTTAAATTCCAGTAACATCAATTTATCAGTGAGTAGCATGCTTCACTTTCAACTTTGATCATACTAAGAGCAAGATCTTGAGTAATCGAAATTTCTGACGTTTCACTGGTTTTTTTCACGATTTTGATATTTTTAAAACGTCAGAACCGGTGCCATTATATAAACTGGCAATCTGCCGCCTCCACCTGGCTCCGGCGGCATTCTCGAGTTGATTGTCGTTATTTGCGAGCTGAATTAGATGCTGAATCCACAGCTTATCAATGGTACAATTCCACTTAATACTCACCAGCATCGTTTTTCTTGTTATTTTATAAAATATACAGTCCTGTGAAAATATTTTATCATACCGCACAACAAATTAATATTAAATGAATTTAAATAAATATTGCTTAATTATCGTGCAAGAAACAATTTTTACAATTAAAATTAATTTCTTGTACATAATTCTTTTAAGGGACGGGTCGGGTTTTTAATAGGTTCTCTGAAGCTTTAATGATTCTTAACCTTGAAATTTCATAAAATGTACAGAATGGGAAGCAAAAACACAATTCCACGGGTTTTACAGTACTTAATCCAAGTTCCAAAGTTTTCACTATAGTAAATCAAAGTTCTAAAGTTTTCAACATCGTAAATCAAAGTTCCAAAGTTTTCACTATAGTATATCAAAGTTCCAAAAGTTCAATACAGTAAATCAAAGTTCCAAAGTTTTTAATAATTATATACTGAATCAAAGTTCCAAAGTTTTTACTAAAGTAAATCAAAGTTCCAAAGTTTTTACTAAAGTAAATCAAAGTTCCAAAGTTTTCACTATAGTAAATCAAAGTTCCAAAGTTTCACCATAGTAAATCAAAGTTCCAAAAGTTTAAACTTTAGTAAATAAAAGTTCCAAAGTTTTCACCATAGTTAATCAAAGTTCCAAAGTTTCAACTTTGGTACTATAGTTAAATATAGTTAAGTATAGTTAATTAAAGTTAACTATTATTTACTATGGTATTTTTTGTTAGGGTTAAATGTAATTCGGTTCGCTTGTATCGAAAATAGGCTCCATTTGGAGACGGTGAAATTCCTAGTTTTCATGATGGCGCCGGTTCTGGCATTTTCTTGGCACGTAAAATAATAAATCGTGAAAAAAGTCAGGAAACGTCAGATATTTCGGACTATATATCTTGAATAGCAAATGAGTTGGGAGCCATTAAAACCAAATGCTTGTGATATTGCAATACTACCAGATAAATAAGGAAAGTTGACGCTGAAAAGCTAAAGTCATCCCGTTTTTCATAAAAAATTTTTTATGTTATTTGACAATTATTGTCTAAACTCAGTAAAACATCAAAATTTGAAACAGATGTGACAGATCCTGTGATGTTTTTACTCTAAAAAGTTCACTGGATTATTTCGAGTCGGCTTATGCGAGTTCGGCATATGAATGAAAACTAGAGGTACTGTGAGCAATGAGCTCACTAAATTATACCCCCCCCCCCCGCCTCCCATATGAATATATTGGCAGTATCCATGTTTTGCTCTGGAAAATCCAAAATATATGTCAGATCAAAAAGTAAAATAGGAGGTGCACAATTGCAATATGTAATAAAGATTCTGTGAGTTTCATTAAATTTCCTTCAGTGGTATGAGAGGAGTTGCGGATAGGAGATGGGTACCCCAAAGCGTAACAGACGGACGGACAGACGTACAGACGGACGGAAATACCGATTACTATATACCCTCCCGCTTTTCAAGCGGGGGGTATAATAACTAATGACAATTGATACAAACAACATCGATGTATCAAATGAAATATGGAGATAACGCACAGTACTATTCAAGATCAAAAGTCCATTAAACAATACAAAGTTGGGAGCAGAGC